CCCGGCCCAAGCTGAGTGATCTTGAGCAAGGAACTTAACCTTGCTGAGCCTCTATTTCTTCATCTGTAAAATGGGCATAACAATACTATTTCTCCGCTGGGCACAGTGGCTCACACCTGTAATCCCAGCACTTTGGGAAGCCCAGGCGGGTCCTGAGATCAGGAGTTTGAGACCAGCCCCTGACCAACACAGAGAAGTCTCGTCTCTATAAAAAATAAAAATAAAAAATTAGCTGGGCGTGGTGGCATATGCCTGTACTCCCAGCTACTCGGGAGGCTGAGGCAAGAGAATCGCTTGAACCCAGGAGGCAGAGGTTGCGGTAAGCCGAGATCGCACCATTGCACTCCAGCCTGGGCAGCAAGAGTAAAACTCCATGTCAAAAAACAAACAAACAAACAAACAAAAACTATTTCTTTCAGAGTGGTTTTTTTTTTGAGGATTTCATGAGACAGGGATGTAAAACTCCGCACTTGCTTGGCGCAGGGGAGCCCTAGAGAAATGATGGACATGATCAGTGTGTGAGAGAACTTCCCAATAGTGTGGAGAAAGTAGCCTGGTGACGGGGACCCTGCCACCTGCTTTCAAAAAGCCCATTTGCTTCCATTCGCCTTTCATTTGATGCAGGGGAACAGTGAGGTATTGATATGGTTTTACAAAGAGAAATGCAAATTGTCACCCTCACTCAGTGGGGCGAGAAGATAGTAGAGCTGCAGTTGGCCATGCAATCAACCTTTGATCGGTTGGGGGTTAGGATCCAGTGAAGAACAGGCCTGGGTTCTCCAAGTTAATAAAACCCAGCCAGGACCTGGGAGTCCAAGAAGGAAAAGGTCTCTGAAAATGCTTGGTCAGTATTGCTGCTTCTGTCCAGCAGAGGGCAGTGAAAGATGTTCTAGCCAATTATTGGCCCACCTGCTTTGCTTACTATCAGAAACCTCATTTAATCACTCTGCGTATGTTAAGAGAAAATCCTCCTCCTCTGCCCCCCGCCCTGTGATTAGAATTATGTGAAAGTCTTTTTTTAAAAAAAGCCCATTTGGGATGGATCCGAAGCCTGGATATGAAAGCCATTTTGTCACGCAGAACTGCCTTTTGCTGTGAGGACTGGCCAGGGTTTTACGATTGAACTAACAGCAGCACCTTTGTGTAAAGTGGCCTGTTTCCCCTTGTCAGCCTGCACGATTTCAGAGGGCTGGTAGAGCGACTGTTTCCATTATCTGTAGTCATATGGAGAGGGTGCAAATCCCTTGTCCACTGCCATTGTATATGGCTGATCTTGGAGGGCAGGGAAGAACCTAGCAGAGAGCATGGACTTGGCTTTAGCTATACCTGGGTTCCCTGCATAGTCAAGCCATGTGGCCCCGATAAAGTTGCCAGGTAGAAGTATGTCCCATGCAATATTTGGGATTTACTTACTCTAAATTTTTGTTTGTTTGTTTGTTTGTTTGTTTTTGAGATGGAGTTTCTTTCTTGTCACCCAGGCTGGAGTGCTGTGGTTCTATCTCAGCTCACTGCAATCTCTGCCTCCTGGGTTCAAGTGATTCTCCTGCCTCAGCCTCCCAAGTAGCTGGGATTACAGGGGTATGCTACCATGCCTGGCTAATTTTTGTATTTTTAGTAGAGACAGGAGTTTCACCATGTTGGCCAGCCTGGTCTTGAACTCCTGACCTCAGGTGACCTGCCTGCCTCATCCTCCCAAAGTGCTGGGATTACAGACATGAGCCACTACGCCCAACTACACTACATTTTTTACACAAATATTCAAATATAACTGGGTATCTGTATTGTCATTTGCTACATCTGGCCACACAATGCCCTGAGCACATTTCTTAACTCTCTGAGCGTTAGTTTCCTAGATGTAAATTGGGATAACAGTAAAATCATTCTCGTTGGGCAGTATTCAAGTAAGCTTTTGCAATGCCCCAGAATCCAGAGCCTGACATATAATTAGGTATTATCTCAATATTGAAGAATTTGGTTAAGACCAATTAAAAAAAGGGTATTAGGCCGGGCGCGGTGGCTCACGCCTGTAATCCCAGCACTTTGGGAGGCCGAGGCAGGTGGATCACGAGGTCAAGAGATCGAGACCATCCTGGTCAACACGGTGAAACCCCGTCTG